CACTTGACAGCCTCCCTCTGCTGCCCGGTTCCTGCTGCTGCCAGAAGCCCAGCCCAGGCGGGACCTCTGGAACCCCCTCGCCTGCCTTCCCTCCTGCCCGGCTCTGCACCGTGCATCCCGCTGGCTGCAGCCAGCGCGGAACGTGGCACGGGAGGACTCTGAGCCCGACCCAGCGCCCGTCCCTGCTGCAGCCGCTTCCAAGCGCGGTGGGAAAGGGGCTGTGGGCACAGCCTGTTCCCTGGCGGCAGCGTGGGCTGCGCAGACCCCTCTGTGTGCACCGGGTGCTGCGGGGTCCCTGGGCTCAGCATCCACGTTCCAGGTCCATGCAGAAGGTGGGACCTCGAGGGCGATGTGGGTGATGCCTCAGGGTTTGTGAGGGAGCAATGAGCCTGCGCCCTGCAGACCAGCTCAGCCTCCATGTGGTCGTGGAATAGCAGGAGGTCTCCTGAGCCCCGGCACAACTGCAAAGCTGGGATGCAGACGTGAGTCACCATCAGAGCCGGGAGCACTTGTGCCAAGGCATTGGCTTTCACCCAACTGCAGGAGGAACAGGCCCTGGGAGGAAACAGGCAGCCGCACCCACCCCTGAAAGGGCCGGGTCCCTTCTTAACTTACTGCATGCTTAATGATCCTGAAGGAAAACTGCAGGGAGGGAGGGCATGGTTAAGGTGACTCAATGCAGCTTATTTAAGGAGGCCTCCTGATCTACAGGACTCCTCTTTCTGCGCAGCTTTGTTCTAGCTGGAGAGCACCCTTGTCTTTCATGGGATGGATTCGGTCCTTGTGACACCTGCACAGAGGAGGTACCAGGGGATGTGCTCAAGGTGATACAGGTTGTGAAAGAGAAGGATCTAATGGGAGGTGTTTCTAGTTATGGGCTACTGCGTTACTCACTGGGTTCTGCACTGCCTGAATAAGCACCCACTCTGCTGTAATCATAGAATCCCAACTGGTTTGGGTTGAAGGGACCTTAAAGCTCCTCCAGCTCCAACCCCTGCCCCTTCCACTAGAGCAGGTTGCTCCAAGCCCCTGTGTCCAACCTGCCCTTGAACACTGCCAGGGATGGGGCAGCCACAGCTTCTCTGGGCACCCTGTGCCAGCGCCTCAGCACCCTCACAGGGAAGAGCTTCTGCCCAAGAGCTCATCTCAGTCTCCCCTTTGTCAGGTTCAAGCCATTCCCACCTAAGCTCCCTTCCTACAATCCCATGCTCAGCCCCTCAGCCAAAACAGCTCTGCTCAAACCAATGGGTGTCCCTGGCTTATACCAGCTGCACATCTCCCACAGACTCAACAGGCAGCAACAGGTCCCTGAGCTCCGCCAGCCTGGTAGGACCTGGAGGGGTGGGTGGCCTACCTGGACCTGTGCGCATCTCTCATTAGGGATTGGGGATGCCAGCAGGAGCCTGCCCACACCTTTCCCATTCAGGTTTTGGTGAAATTCCAGCTCATTACATGGAACCAGTGAGTGATTTAGGGTGGAAGGACCCTCCGTTCACCTGGTCCTCCCGCAGCTGAGCCCGGTGCAGAGGGTGGGGCAGAAACGAGACGTTCCCAGGTGACAGTTCACAATGGAACATCACTCGTTCTGCCTACGACCACTGCAACTGTCACACCATTTCCTGTACGGGTACAAGAGCATTTCTGCTACAAACCTGCTGAAACCACTTCAAGTTCAGAGCGTTTCTTTTCAGGATAGTTTTTGCCATGGATCTGTGAAATGCCCCCTTGCTGATAAAGCAACCACCAGGACAGGCTGGGAAAGCTTCTGCGGTTTGGGCTATTTCATCCCAGAGATGAGTAAGTTTGACAAAGCCTCGATCTGTTGTTGCTGTTTGAAAGGAGTGATTCGAACCCAGCATTTTCCTCTCTCCGGCTGAAGCTGTTTCGCCCTCAGAAGCATGATGTCGCCTGGCACAGAGATGGGGCTGGCAGCACACTTCAGGTGAATAACATCCACTTGTTTTTCCCAACCTGATCCCTGCAATAGAGCCGTGAGTCAGGTAAAAGAAAAGCTGGAGCCGTTTCCCTTTCTTTGCCAGGCAAATAGCCCCAAATCATCTTTACTCCAATGCCTCTTTAGGCAGTCGTTTCACAATGTTCTCCCTGGTGCATTAGACTGGAAATGAATGACCTGCCTGGCAGAGAGAGGCCAATCTGTCAGGGCAAGAGGCTTGGGCAGAAAGCAGTTCGTAGGATTCTGATTCCAAGGTGTCCTGACCTCAGGAAAGGGGATGGGTGAAATGGAACCTGTGGAGCTTGGCTGCATGACAAGGGGGTAAGGAAAGAGCAGCTTCTTTCCTTACTGATGCCAGGACAGCTCTTGGTCACTTGGCACAACGCCTTCAACCCCACAGCAGTGCTCTTGCTTCTGGCATGAACTGTTGGAGCTCTGTGTGTCCCTGGTGCTCCGAGTGGGGAAATCACAACCAGAGCTGCGCGGACCCACCAGCGTCACCATCACCTCCCTGCTAGAACCCTGGAGCTCGCTCTCTCCATGTGGGAGGCCTCTGGAGCACTGGAATTCCTCGTCTGCGG